CATTATAAAACAGGCGTGAGTTGCGAGTGATTTCTTAACACATCAAAATACGGTAACACTGACATTTTGCAAAAAAAAAAACATGATTTAGTTTAAACAAATTTGAATAAATACCTTAACATGCTTCTCTTTTTTTTTGGTAAGAGTAGAATTAAGTGATTATATCTCAAATTTAAAGTCAGTAAGGGAGATACTTTATGTGCCGTTGTAGTCAACTGTGGTCTTTAATGATTTGATAGATAGATCCCATCATAGTATAAACCAATACTTACGTTGAAAACGTTTAAAAATCAATACAATCGATTTTAGTCCCTTTAGTACATTTCATATTTTATGAATACCTAAAATGTGCATTAACGAAATGTATAATTTGGAACCTATCTTTATTTAATCTTGGTTTAAAATAAACGAAAAATATATTTTTTCGTTTATACATTGTAAAAATAACTCCATTTATATTACTTATTTCTGTCCCTTTTATCGGATCGATTGAGCCGTTTATTTGTCGCCTAATTAGTATTTGGGATGGAAGGACGGAGTACAAATATACCTTGGCGTTTCTTACAAGTGTAACAGCCCGGTGTAAAAATATTGATGTTTATACAGGTCGCGAGGATGAGGAAAGGCAAACACAAGTTGTTTACTAATGGAGCCACTGAATTTGTTGAAGGATCAGTGTCGAAAACTACGTAAAAGATCTTTCGACCTTTCTGGAAACCATATAAATAGAAAGGATATTTGCGCTGTAGATATAATTGGAAATCGTTGAAAAGGACTGAAGAGTATATCGTTTAAGCCAGATGAGTACTCATCGTTCGCTTAAGAAGGTTTTTTTTGGATCAGGTTTTACTAAAGGAAAACCTATAGGCTGTCTACTCTAAAATATAAGAAATATATTTAGGAAAGGATTAGAAAAGAGCTGTGTTGTTAAGTCGTTTCATTACTATGACACAACTTAATAACATAGCTACTAACTACTACTACTACTAACAACAACATACTACAGCTGTAAACGCTAATGTCTGTTTCAAAATAATGTTAGTTAGAAAGAGTAATTTGTGCGTTAATAAACAATACTGTCATTAATTGTGTAAATTAGAATTATAGTGAAATTTCGTATAGACTTATAGCTCCAATTTAAAGGTTCTCTAACAATAGAACGCACCAATTTATTCTCTTTTGTTATTCAAGAAGAACTATTTTATAAGAGACCATTAACGTTGTCGAAGCATCAATCTGCATGTAAGGAAAAATTTTACTACATAAAAGGTTTATCTTCTTACACTTCTCTAAATTTAACTAGCCGCAACATATTCTATATCATTTGTCATTTTTACTACTTTCTTTCTTTCTGTATTCTCTCTCACGTAGTCCATCCATCTTTTATTTCGTTATTCTCATTTTGGGTGCGGGTCGACTTTCAAACTTAAAACTTTGTTGCTATATTTTCTCCGCTAAAACCCTTTAAAAAAAGTTAAAGCTGTAACGAAGCGATGGAGAGAGGGCAATTAAAAGTAATGAATATTCATCATTGGCACGGTTTATGTAAACAGTAATATACTTCTATGCTGTTAAAAAAATGCTGATGTATCATTACACGGTGTATTTTGCACCTGAAACGCTAATCAATCAAAATAATCTTTTTTGGGTGTGTGTACGTTGTGTGACGACAAAACGAAGGTGTTTTTGTGTATATATTATAGAAAATACTTCTCCTAACTAGATATCTATCGAAAGGTTTTTGTCGATTGTGCAGTTGCGACTCGAAATTGACTGCGTATAATGTGCTCGCAATGCGGGAAATCGGCGCAAATAGAGGGACCTCGCAAGACGTGTAGCAGCCCTGAAAGTCTGAAAGTGTGCGGTGACGGCGAACCGCAACTCTGCCCATCAACATCCTTCACCGGTCTGGCAAGAGTGTTCCGCTAAGCAGGCTGTGGTAAAGCTGATTTAAAATTGTGTCTAACTAAATACATACTGCATTTTAATAAGTTAAAGTAAGTCAAAAATAATGAAGGTTTCAAACTTAACTAGTGAAAAAGTACTAAAATACATGTTGATAACACTTAATAAAACCTAACCATCATATCTCAATTGTATAACCAATTGAGCCAGTCTTTATAAATATATAATTCGTACGTACGTGTGTATATGACTAAACTTCTCCTAAATGGCTGGACCGATTTTGATGATTTTTTTTTGTGTGTTCAAGTGGATTCGAGAATGGTTTAGATTCACACAATTCGGTCCACTACAAAAATGATTTTTTAGATTTTCAAGTTTTTGTGTACAGAACAATCAATTAATCAATGTACAAGGCCATCTAGTTTTGATATATATAATTGGAATCTAAGGAAGTAACCAAAGTAATTATAAAATTGGATAGCGATTGTTTGAGACATTTTTTCTGACTTTATATATTTAGATTTCTTCTAAAAAACAGTTGTCCAGGTGCTATGGACCAAGTAACTCAAATTATTTACAGATTTCAACATTACCGTTTCTAACTACAGTGAATTTTTCTTGTGAAAGAGAATTAAGTGCATATTGATTAGTGCTTTTTTTTAATACTACTCCCGCATTAGGAATAAATCCTGTGTCGCGGGGGACTTTACAAACATACATGAAACGGACACAAAGAACACCCAGACTCAGAACAACAATTTGTGGATCACACAAAGTGTCGACCTGTATGGGGATCGGACCCTCAACAGTCAGCGTAGTAGTTAGTACTACGCCATCCGAGCATTTGGCCCAATATTATTAATATTATGCATAATACATTTCCAAAAGGGCAGATAAGACGTGAAAATATTTCAAAAATGTTACTAATATCAATACTCGCTACAGCTGTTACATGATTTATTTCCCTAATTTACTCTTACACACACACATACAATAAGAAAATCCCTTAAGCCAAAAATATGTTTCTGGAGAGGCATTGTATAGAAACATTATGTAACCTCTTAAGAGAAAAGGGAATGCTTTAGGTCTCCAAATTAAAGAGGACAGATAAGATGTTTAGAAAATGAAAACAAAGAGATAAATTCTTTGTTATTGAATTCATGAAAAAATGTTTGTTCAGAGACTCAAAAATGTGTAACAAAAATACTGAATTATACATCCTCGGCTAAAATTGCATTTTGAATTTCGTGATAATTTAAATTTGTTGTAATCCATTTGTTTGCTATTAGTACACGTACATTCGTACTGTTGGATTTTACGTCGTTTGTACTGATCGTCGTTCGTAACAGCTATTACAATCATACTACTGTTATCATATTTTTTCTGAGCGAAAACAACTGCTGATGTTTATAATAACTCAATAAATGAAAAATGAAGGTGATAAAAAGAAAATATATGCATTCTCAACGACTAAACTTTTACATGAAATACATTGGATATATTCTAAATGTTTAAATTTACATTAAAAGAGAGAAACGAAAAAAGATTAAACCCCAGGCATTGAAAGGGTCCAATTTTGGTTCTATTTTTGTAAGTAAAGAATATTATTCTGTTAATATTTATTACCTGCCATACTAAACCTTCATCTTAGGGCTCTTAATATAATGTTTACTATGGTAAATTCAATTTCATAGTTACGAAAAACCTGCAACATATGCATAAAAAAATATATTTTTGTTTTATAAATACTGTAAAAAAAATTATTTATTTTCTTTCTTTCTTTTGTTTGTAACAAATAAGAGCCATAACTCTTATGCATATGTTGACGTGGGAAAACAAAATGTGTCTCTGACAAATTATATCGGGGAACTTGTTTATACTGTTACCGAGCAAGCAGGCGCTATGAAAAATGATTGAAGCTGAATTTTCTTACATTCTGCTCCATTCTTCCTAAGGATAATATAATACAAGCGATTAATCCAATTAAAATATCTCTGAGGTATTTTACGCTGTATTTTAAGTTCTAAATGTACTTCACTATTATTAATGAATTCGTATTAAATTGAAACTGAGTCCCATTTAAAAAAAATGCAATACTGTGCAATCAGAAATGTGAACGAGTTTAGATGGACGATCTAGCATTGTTATCTCTTCACAGAACTCGGATTTACCAGCCCAAATACTTGCTATTACGATACTAAGTTATACGGACTGACGGATAAGAATGATTGTTTTTTTTAACCGTATTTATGGGTGCATTCGTGCTGATATTTTTTTTCTTTGTAAGTTATATTCACCCACATAAAACGCGAATTAAATAATTTTCAAATTTAAATTATATAAAGGTGACTGAACAACTAAAAATAGTGGCATATATACATATAGTTTATAACTTACTTTATTTGTTTCTAAACCTTACATTATGGTCATAGAAATGTTAAAGTTCAACAGTATATGTATGTTGATTTTCTGATTCTATTAGTTCAAATATATTGAATGTGATGATTATTCTTAAAAGAGATGTAAAATTTTGTACGTCAGGAAATGCATAAGTGGTATCACCTCTTCCAAGTCTGAGGTTTTTGTTTATTACCAAGTGAACAATGTTCATCATTTATGGTAGGATTAAAAAAACCAAAAGGTAAATAATAGAACACGGGTTTCAGCGGACAAGTTTATTTTCAACGACAGTGTATGTATATTGAGATTCCAGAGCTTAGCAGTACATTTTACTTGATCACTTCAATTATTGCGACAAAAATAAATCTATTAAAAGTGCTACTTATGCGATAACAGACAACATTTTTAAAGAGTACATGATTATTTTCAAGGTTTCTACAGGCATAACTATATATTTTTTGGGCATAGGCGTGTAGAAAAAGCTTCTTTTTATTAGCCCTGTTAAATATTACACACAGTATAATTGTAATGCAGTTCAGAGGCAGTCAATTAATGCTATATTACGCCTCGCTATTAGGTTTGATTATTTTCACAAAGCGATCGATCTCTGGCGTCATCCAAGTTGGTCCCGTTTTATCTACAAAAAATATTTCAATTTACAACTCATTGGCTTATTTTACCGACTTTATTACGCACTATCTCACAGCTGATACAGCTACCACGACATTTCGTCTACTCTTACTTTTATTAAGTTTTACGATTCTGTAGCTAAACTTGTGTTTTTCATGAAATTCGATATTGTTTTTATCTACTGCCTTGGAATTCATTATGTTGGCGAGTCCTTTTAATTTCCCTTTTACTTTAATCCATCTATCATTTTTCCAGTCATATTTTCTCCCCATAGCTAAAAGAATGTCTTCGAATTTTGGCCAAGGTGAATTTATTATCTCAGATTTAACGGGTTGATTGTTTTTAAAAGTTACTTTTACTAAATTTCCTTCATAATTTTTAGACTCTGACGATCCACTACTCGTTACGTTATTTAGGTGTGTATTAAAAACGTTATCATCTTTCGTAGTCTTGATACCATCTTTCCCTGTTTCTTTTTGATGGTTTATCATATTCGCTACATTTTTGTAGTGTATGGTACTAAAATCATCTTCCTTATAGCGTTCTTCCGGATTCTTATCATAAAAACTTTCTATCTCCCGTTCAATTTTTTCTGCAAAGGAAATTGAAACATATCACACTCATTTTTGCAAACAATCTTTAAACAAGTAAACAAGTGTATATAAGGCAAAAAACTGTTTATTTAAGCATTGATGTGAAATCAATGCCGATAGAGTAGAATACAGATATTAAAATAATGTTTTATTAAAAAAATCTGAGAATGAATTGATGATGAAATCAACCAATATAATGTTCAAATTACAATTAGCTGGTCATAATTTTATTGTTTCTGTGTTAAATCATTTCTTACAATAGCTTACCTGCCAATTCTTTGTACGCCTGAATATCGTGTCTAAGGTTTTCTCTCTCCTTTTCCTTCCAATGTCCGTCACCTTGGTCTGTAGAAAATAAATGAAAGATATATTTCTCCTCTGATAGTAATTTCGGCCTGAAAAGAAGCCTCTCAAAGGTTGGATTGCAATGATTTCGTTTTTATTGTGTTGATAGAAATTACGATTGATGTTTAGGCAGTAGCAAAGATATTTTTATCAAAACTTCTTTTATATACGAACGTAATCGCATAAATAATATCTACTTGAACACAGTTTTTGAAATTAATGTAATAAAATAAGGAAGCTACTTTGTATGAAGGGAATTACTTAGTATCATAAATGTGCATATACTCCTATTTTTCGTGTTAAAAATGGTTTGAAAAATATTCCTTGTCTTCATTATATTTACACACATGCTACACAACATATTATAAAGCTTTCATATCTGAAGATGTAAATACAATACTTTTAAAGCTATCTTGCTGTGAAAAAGGTAAAGAACAGAATATCAAATGGACTTACCAATGCATATCATAAAGATGATCAACAAAAACGTATAAGCCATCGTTGTTCTGTGTATGGTGTTTTTCATATTAACAACCTGTAACAAGAAAAATGAAAATTTCAACAAGAATATAGGTAAAAGTCCTGTTTTCCGGTACTATATTGAAATGTTTATTTAAAAAGTAAATTAAATATGAACTTCCTCTAAAATAAATTAAATATAAGGCAAGAGCTTCGGTAGGGCATAGGTCTGCCAAACGCATACAATTTATCTCGTTTTATGAGAGCGACTTGTAAGTTACGACTATGAAAAAGATTGGACAAATTTATTTTCAAACTTAATTACATCACAGATACTATGAACCGAGTAAAGGAGATACAAAAAAATGATCATTTTTATAAATTTATTTATTAAGCTATTGCATAGAAGCTATCGAGGGCCTTGAGCGCGGGGACCGAATCCAGAAATTCCGTAACGAAAAAAAACCTCACGCTAAAAACAAAACAAAAAACAGTACCAAAATCAAATGCTGAACGTCAAAGGAAATTTCGTCAACATAATGCAGAAAAATCTTACATGGATATGTAATTTGATTTAATAATAATATATTTTTTTTTTATAACAAATTGTAATATATGCTTCAATATTTTTATTTAATAAAAGAAAAAAAATTGTTTTCTTATCGGTCACCACGCTCAAAAAGTGTAACTTGAATTAATATCAAAGAAAAAGAAATACTGCATAAATAAAATAAATAAATAATTATAATTGCATAAGTTGATACAAAATGCTATGCAATAGCTTTACCGCGGCAGTCCCCGAGTGCCACACGTCTTTTTTTCTTTTTTATTTTATTCTATTTATTTTAGGGTATGAGGGGGCAAACGAACAGACGGGACACCTCATGGTCAGAAATAAATGCGTTGCTCTAACTCTAAAATCGGGCTGGTTTGCGTCTAGAGTAACCTGTGAAAAACATTTTTTTTGTTAAATTAAAAAAAAAATGTTTATCACCGGTTTTCTGTGACTGTCTTACCACTCCGACCGACTCACACACAAGAACGGTATTCCATAGTAGTAATAGTTTTCTTTCTAATAATAAAAAATAGTGTAATGCTGTTTGAGTATGTTTTTTCTTTATGATCACCTAGTACACCGTACTGACCGGATCGAGCTATTATTATTTACTCTTCCAAATCCAGCCAGTTAAGCATTATGACACCTTTCCTTCCACTGCTTTCCTTTTTTCCCATCCTTTCCTTTCAATTTAATGGCAAATTTCCGATCTCTAAAGTGCGCGGTTGACGGCTGACTTGGACCCTATTAAGTAAATGGGGCCAAATTATAGTGGGCAAAATGTGGATGGTTTATACGCCTATGTCTGTTAGTTACGTACATCCATTTAGGAGCTCAGATATTAAAACTTATTACCTTTTAGTTTCCTCTAATTAGGTAAGTAGTTAGAAATTAACTATGGTTTTCGTTTTATCTTTTTTTTTCATTTAATTTGTAGTTCTGTAACATCATTAACGGAAACTATGATAGTACGTTAGTAGTGTACAAAGAAATAGAAAGCAGACAGTTTCTCTTTATGGATGTAGTGCTCCAGAACTTCATAATGCAATAAGGTATCCAACATTAACTTTTATCATTTTAAGTTTATCCTCATCGCCACTGTCATTTTACTAGGGAATATGGGACAACCTAAGTATCACTGTACTCGTATCTGGAATGACTGACGCACCAGTTAGTAACAAAAGATATAATTATAAATACCTACCTACCACTTAAGTAGCGATATATCCTACATACAATAGTAATATAACTGAACGCATCTTTTTCTACTTTTATTTCTAGTCAATACAAAAAAAGTGTCAGTATACAGAGTCATCATTATCATCATCATCAGCCTATCGCAGTCCAATGGGAGTGGCCATAGGCCTCTCCCATTGGACTGCGAATTATAAGGAAATTTAATAAAAATAATAACAAAGTCCAACAAAAATAAAATCGTTTTTTTTTAAAGTTCTCGATGCTCATTCCAAAACGTACCGAGTGGCTAGTAGAAAACAGGGGGAAAAACATGAACACACTGAGCGCCCAAATTGCGTGCAAAAAGTTTTAGTTGAGTTTTGAAACTACTTTAGTAGAAAAGTATTTTTTTATTTTGACCAAAAAAACAGTCAATAGCATAAAAATCAAGCCAGCAAGAAATAAAAATATAATGTAAGATAGAAATCTTTACAAATAAATAAAGAATTGTCTGTTTGTAATGTCAAATTGCATTTGCACGATACCCATGCATAAAAACCAGTTTTTTTTTGTCTGTATGTCTGTTTGTCTGTTATTTCCGATTTTGATAATATTTTACTACCAGGTAGCTGTCTATATAAGGAGTAACTTAGGCTATTTTTCCTCTCAGGAAAACCCTTAAAAATTTTGCAAACCCACTAGTTGAATTCCCGAACCGGGCAAAACTTTAAAGGGCGGCGCTTTTCAAATGCCCCGCAAACGAAGTCGCAGGTATCAGCTAGTAATACATAAACTAGTGTGGTATCATCAATTACCCTTTTTTTTTCCGTGCGGCTATCCCCTCGGATACCACCTGTCGGTAGCATGTCGGACCCGAACGGACTAAAACCGCACGCCGTCTCGGGTACTAATAGCCGGGGAACCAGGTATGCCCTAGAAAGGAAGTCCCTGGTGCATCATCAATTACCCTAAATATTATGTTGTACAAAGTATTTGTCAGGATCGGCTACCGTTTTTAGTTTCCATCATAAGATGATTCTTGTACTGACCCTAGGCCTGGACGACGTATTGAATTGAACCGTCGCGTAAACTCCTTTTAAATATTGTACACCGTGCCAAACGGGAAGGTTCTAGTAATAGTTGTTAAACTTCTACGACCTCAAAGTTTCTTTTTAACAACAGAAGCGCTTGCGTTGACTAATCATGTACACAGAATTAAACTTTCTCAACTTCTACGACCTGTTCTTGTCCTTAAGGAAAACCTTGCCGTCTGTTATAGAATAGATAACCTGTATGAGAAACTCTTGAACCAAACAAAATGAGAAGCAAACAGAGTAGCGAAAAATTGTTGAAAAAGTTCGCAAATCTTGAGATGTGAAATATATAGATGATATCACCGCGGTTTAATGACATCAACCTCGAACTTCTCAGAGCAGCAGCAATAGGGTTCATAGCTGCAAAAAAGAGATTTTGTAAAATTAGACTTGTTATTATTCTCTATTCGTATGGTGACGAATTAAAAATTAGAAATATTACCACCCCTCTTTATTCCATGGGTGTCGTAGGAGCCTCAATTCCGCAAGACAACGGCACTGCAAAGAAAAGGAAAACTTGACACAAACCCTATACCAATCCGTCTGGTCAGCGTTGTATAGTACGCAAAAATTTTCTTTCTTAGGATAGGCCTACATCCAGCAGCAGACTGTTAAAGGTTGTTAATGTTGATGATGGTAATGATATTATTCTCTATAATTAAAGAAAATGATTTGATAACAGAGGGATATTATGTCATGTCATGTTTCATTAGTTTTTACACAAGGTTTTAAAGTTTCCCTTGATGGAAATTACAAAATTTCTTTCGTCGAGTATATAATTTCAATATGTATTTTTTTTTAATGAAAGAAGGCACAAACGAGCAGACGGGCCACCTGATGGAAAATTACCCTTGCCGCCCATAAACGCCTGCAACCCAGTAGTCAAAAACGCGTTGCCAGCCTTTTTGAAAGGAATACGCTCTTTTCTTGAAAGTCGTTTCGATCCGGACATAACGCAGACCATTCATCCATCCACAGATTGGTTGAACGAGGCAAGAATTGTATTTCGAGGCAAAAAGAGTCTTGTATGTATTTTTTATTTCTTACTGTTACTGTTATTAGAACTGATAACTTAGTAATTTCACCATAATGAATGATTTAATGTTCAGTTGTACCGCGGGTCTAAAATTTTTTGATGGTACAAGGAGTACAGGCGCTGACAGGTCATCAGACGGTAAGCGACTACCGCGGCTCATGAACATCTGCAATTCAAGAGATATAAGTGCGGGTAAGGTTGGCTTGACTTTTGACTTTCCCTTCTCCTCTCGAAATTCAGGAGAGGAGGTCGGGCCTCCGGTAGTCTCACTCATTCTTGAATTGCAACGAAAGAATTGCTTAATATCAGTGTTTGTGAGGTCGTAGTATCTCAAAAATTTAGAGAAAACATTTGTAAAGAATTTTAAAACAATATTCACAATAGAATACATATTATTATATATTAATGAAGAAGACTCCTTAGAGATATACGTGTAAACACTGGACTAGTACCTTATAATTAATAGGGTTACAAAACTAAAACTATTACACAACAGTTATTCGGTCGGCTTTTAGTAATGTAACAACGTAACTTGATTATCCCTTCAAATTTCAATTGTTATTAAGTTTTCAAATTAACTTTATATATTTTTATAGAGGTGGGTGCAGTTTAATACTATAAATATTATATACGAGTATAAATTTATGTACATGTGTTGATATTGATGCATGATATTCGGCTTATCATTAAAACGTTTAAAAAGTGTATTGTTATAACACAAATGTGTGTGTACATGTGACGTGTGATTATTTTGCATAGTTATAATTGTATGTATTAATTTACGAAAGCTTTATAAATGCAGACAGAAATAAACCATGGCTTAAGTGAGATGATCTCAATCTACACTGAGCCGTTGACTTGATGGATTTTGGAAAGCGATTTACACATTAAAATTCGTGTTCTTATTAGCATTCTAAACTGTGAGCGATACGTTTATTAACAAATTCAAACCTTCTAATAATATAACCATAATCACAAATTTTATTCAGTTTTGATCAAAATAAAAACATTAAAGTGCGTTGGTTTGACAAAACTGATACAATTTCGACAAAAAAACTTTTTTTATCAAAGAATTACTAAACAAAACAGCTTAATAATAATAATTTAAAAAGTATACATGAAACAGTTGGTTCACAAAAATATTAAGACTTTAATCGTAATAGTAAATGTCTTTGTAA